TATATATATATATATATATATATAATAGTTTAATAAAATTATCTTTTTATAACAGGTAACATATTTATATGAAATTCGTAAAATCCTACAAGATGAAGCCATGATATTATTTTTAGGAATTTAATGATGGAATAAGTTATATTAAATAATTTTTAAATAGTGAATAGTTTATGAATATCATTAGAAAACCTTATTAACTTATTCCAGAGAGCTGATTAATACAAAACTTCACGATTTAAAATAGGTAAAAAATACAAATTAATGTTATATCCAATTAGGTATTTTTTTTCTAGTTTTATTTTAATGACTTACAAATGACACTATGAAATTAAAGGTGTTAAATGCATTAAAATTAAATAAATCCACTATGTATTAAATAATTAATAAATTATTCTTCTCATTCTTAGAAAACATTAAAACATCAAGCGACAAAAATAATAGGTTCTTAGTTAATAACAACGAGATATATTAGTTAATAAATACGAGAAAGTACACACACGAGAAGGTGTTTTTGTTATTATTATTTTACATATATCAAAACAAATTTAATCTCCGTAAAATTTAAAATTTTGTATTTAAAAAAAATCATCTATTTTAATTTGAAAATGAAAATTTTAATTCTGAATCACGTCAGTTAGATTTATAAAAAAATTGAAAATAAAATTTAAATTAACCATAGAGCTAAATAATAAGTAAACAGACAAAAGTATTTTGATTAATTAAAAACTAAAAAAGTATAGAATATTTAACTGGGATTGTAAAAGTAAAAAGTGTTTGGCAAATAATCTCGCGTATCTTTAGTTTTTTCCCAGAGCCCGAGAAGAAAAGCTGGAGAAGGAAAAACACGTGCAAAGCTCAGTGAATCTGACAACCCACACGAGCGGTTCTTGTATTGCATGCACACACACTCACTCATGTTTTGTTTAATGTTTTTTTTTTCCTTAAAAAGCGAGAGAGAAACTGAAACAGTGGACCCACTAATCTCATTTTTCCACAGAAGAAAGAAGAAAAAGGCTGAACTTTCATCAATGGAAAAAAAAAAGAAGTAAGAAAAAATATAATTTATAATTTGCTTGAACTCTTCTTTAAAACCTTGTCCTTTTATTCTGGTTCCTGTGTCTTCATTCTGAACACCATTTGTCTCTTCTTTCACTCTCTCTTCTGTGACTCATCAATGGCTGGCCCAGGAGAGGGAATTCACAGTGGCCATGAATGAATATCTTTTTTTTTTTTTTTTTATCTCAGTGAGTTTCTTTTCTCACCCATCTAGCGTTTTTTCTTTTCTGCATATTCAGTTTCAATGAGTAACTCACTACACTTGAGGAATGGTGGTAGTGGATTCAGTGCTGAAATGAATGTTTTCCCTTTAGCTTCTGTTCCTGTTCTTGCTCTCCAGTGTTCAAACACTTTGGGGTTCATGGGTCATGTTGGAGGAACAGAAACTGAATGTTCTGACATGCCCTTTAAGAATTTGAACTCCTCACTGATCCAACACCAGGAGAAAGAAGAAGAATGTTTTGGGATTCAGAATAAGGACTTGTCTTTGAGACCTGGTGAAGAACTTGAAGCTAAGGGTTCTTCATTCACAGAGAAAATTAGACAGACCAAGCTTTGTGCAAGAGGACATTGGAGGCCAGTTGAAGATGCCAAACTTAAAGAGCTTGTTGCACAATTGGGACCTCAAAATTGGAACTCCATAGCAGAACATCTTCCTGGAAGATCAGGTAAATGACAGTTTTCCTTTTTAGTGGACTGCTATGTTTTGTGATAACAGATTTTTTGTGCTGAATGGGTTATTGCAGGAAAAAGTTGCAGATTGAGGTGGTTTAATCAGCTAGATCCTAGAATTAACAGAAAGGCTTTCGGTGAGGAAGAAGAGGAGAGACTCTTGAATGCTCACAAAGTGTATGGTAACAAATGGGCCATGATTTCTAGACTCTTCCCTGGTAGGACTGATAATGCAGTGAAGAACCATTGGCATGTGATCATGGCTAGGAGGCAAAGGGAAAAGTCATGTGTCTTCAGAAGGAGAAAACCCACATTTCAGATCCTTCCACCAAAGGATTTGGATTTGATCTTGCCAGTGAATGGA